CCTCAATTACTGTTTTGCAATTGCTGTCTATTAAATTTCCTAGCACGAATTGGCTGTAAGATTGTTTTAGGTCGTCATTAAGAAATTTATATTAAATATGCAATAAGCTACTTCGGTTAACAGAAGTTGGGGGGATATTAGTGTCACAGTTTATTATTATAAATAATTTTTGTGTCTTCTGTCAGCATAACCACAGTAGTATCTCAATACCACCAGCTGATAATAATCTTTATAAATCCTACTTTGCAGCTATACCATCTGTTAGTTATTATTTTATATGTGTCTCCATATGCATATGTGAATTAGTTGTCACTCAAGACAAATATATAAATAGAATTGTGGTTTTGTGGGGAGATTTTTATTGGCTTGTTTTTGTGTTTTGTCATCTTTAGGCCAGTAAACTAAATAAATAAACATATTCCTCAGTCTTGGAAACTGAAACTAAATGCAAATTTAAAAACAATTTTTGTAGTACAAATAAAAGAAATTTAAATTCAATACACACTAAAAGTATCTACTAAAACTAGGTTGAAATTAATAGTCACCAAAAGTGGATATAATTAAAGAACCTGAAATTTACATACACATAGCTTTTGAAATATACCTACAAAACCAAAAAAGAATAGGCCCACTAGTAAATTAGTAGCTAACATGGTTCCAGTTTTCACAATACGAAACACTTGCCATGACTGATGATTTGAAAATAATGACTAATTACTTGCTTACTTGTTATGTTTATTTCCCTGAGAAGAGGAGTCATAATGGTAAAAACTCAAAACGAGGCCCCCAGTGAATCCGGGGGTTTATTCCTGAGCCGTACGTAACCAGCTCCTAGACTGGCAGAAGCAAGAAGTAGTGGCAACACCATCACAACTCAGGACCAAAATTCACCCAGAAAGGCAACAAGGAAAAAAAAAAAAAAGAAGGAACAGAAGGAGATGGATAATCCTCCAGTTGGAATTAGTTCCAAATTATAACGCTTTCCCCAAGTACTAGAGTCTAATGACTTTCATTTCAATAAGCCCAACCATGGGCTTCTAGGGGCTCACGCTCTACGCACCGAAAACAGACGAACTCTCCTAAAAGCTACCAGTGGCTCTCAAAACACAGACTAAAGCGCAACGTGAGAGTAACCACATTTGATGACTAGGTGGTTCAATATTTCCTTAAGTTATCCTATTTTAGGTGATGATGCTCTGGGATCATACAGAGGGAACACCAAAGTAGAAACAGCAGTAACTACTTAGAGTCATCACTGAGAGAAACCCTAAAATATTTAGGGAAGGGGACTGAAGAAGACAAGTACACTGAGAAATTTTTCTGAAATGAATGCCATATTACTTTCAGGTCACAAAGTAAAAAGTCCCACGAATTACTTAATACAAATAAATATGCTGCCTTTCAGAGTCATTTGTGTAAACACAGGAAGATATCTCATAATCCACCTCTGTAAAAATGAACTTATTTGATGTCCAAGCCAGATCTCTTTTTTTGCACATTATATTCTGCCTAGATGCTAGAATTTCCATGATGTTGGGAGAGACTCTATTTGGAGAGGGAACACATTTTTTAAGTATACTTGGGCTATGAAGTGTAAGGAAAAAATATCACAGACTACCTAAAATATTTTAACTGCCATCAAAACTACAGTGTGGCACAGGCCGAGTTGCATTCATTTCTTAACTCTTTATCATCTATCACTGAGATTCCTGTGTGGAAAGTCATTTCATACCATGATTTGCCCCTGTATTTCTAAGTTTTTATTAAAAATGTTCTTATTGAAGGATTTCATTAAGGAATCTCACAGGAATTTATCATACAGGAATTAATTGTGTAAATAGTAAGACAAATTCTTTCATGGTCCAAAGCTCACCAACTGCCTGAGGTCTCGCTTCACTCTCCCTCCCTAATGACACCTATTCGAATCTTCGCTGAAATCTCACTTGTCTTTGAAGTTATGGAGTTTAAGGAACTTATTTATTCCATTTTTTATTATAGTGATTTGTGGCACTTTCTGATTTTTTCCATGAACTGATTGAGAATTTCTGCTTCTCTAGCTAAGAATCAGAGTCGTATGTATATTTACATCCTCTCCACCCCAGGTCCAACAATTCCTTGAGAATAGCAGGCAATCTCGATGTTTATCTGAACTCACCAAAAAACCTATTTCAATATACTAAAAGCCACCTTCTCCAAAGGGTCCTTAGAAAAGGGAGTTATATTTGGGTAATTAAAGTGTTATTTTTAGGCATTATGGAACCCACAGTAAATTACCAAACATATTCTCATTATAAATAATATTTCAATATTTCTTGTGTAGCCACTGAAAATCAAGATAGCGAGAATCTTTTCTGCTCGGTACAATAGTTACGGTTTCTTAATCAGATGTATATCTTTTTAAAAAATTTTATTTATTTATTTGACAGAGAGAGAGAGAGAGAACAGCGAGGGAGAAGGAGAAGCAGACTTCCCGCTGAGCAGGGAGCCCAACCTGGGACTCAATCCCAGGACCCCGGGATCATGACCTGAGCCGAAGGCAGACGCTTAACCGACTGAGCCACCCAGGCGCCCCTATCTTTTTTTTTTTTTTTTTTAACTAACTGAAATCATTACACCCTTCCTTACTAATGTAGTAAGAGTGCCAAAAATAATGTAAATTGACAGATTTTTATGGGTAACTCCTAAGAAATAAGAAAACTTTTTCTTTTTATAGTGGTAAAGAGAGAGAAAAAAAAAACAACTATATGTTTATCGTGTAAGAGGAAAAAGAGGATTTAATGAAAAGACTCCCAAGACAGCATTTGCAGAAGACTGCTTGCTTATTTGTTCATTTATCCATCCCAGAATCATTGACAGGATATCTTTGTCACACCACACGGGTCTGACAGTATGTTAGTGGCTGGAGCTGGTTCACTAAGCTGTAGGCTCCACCTTCCAGGAACTGACACTTTGGTGACGTCATAAAGACAACACAAGTAGTACGAGGGCTCTGAGGTTATCTCCGGCTGGGAGCACGGGGGAAAGTTCGAAAAGGAGGGGCCGTTTGGAGAGCATTTTGTTTTTAAGTTTTATTCTGCAGGCTTCAAGGCACTGGGCGGGGGGAGGGGGGCTAATGTGACAAAACCTGCTCATCTAACAACAGTCTAGTGAGCAGATGAAGACCTCGTTGGAGAATGAGAAACCAGACTTGGAAGATATTTGTGAGGCAGAATCAGTAAGATTTGATGGACTTGATAAAGAGATTGAGGAGAATGAGTCAAAATGACAGGCTGAAGCCTTTAACTTGGCAGGCAGATGATGACGTTATAGGAAATCTCGATTATCACTAACACGTATTTACTGAGCACCTTCCATGTAACAGACACTTTTCTAGGCCCACAGAGTCTGTTTTTGTTCTAGTCAGGGGAGGCAGATAGTAAACAAATGAATAATCTGAGAAGTAATCAACTTGATGGAAGAAATAAAACAGGGTTATGTGACAGTGACCAGGGGAAAGAGACACTTTAGCTGAGGCAGTCATGAAAAGTGACATTTGAACTAAGACCTGAATGACCGCTGGGTAACAAAGGGAGAGCAAACGCAAAGGTTGAGGTGGGAAGGAGCTTAACACGACCAAGGGACAGAACAGTAGCTGGGAGGTGGGTGTGGGGAGAAAGGAGATAGGAAAGCATTTATTCTAGTTAACAGTGTGCCGCAGGCAGGGTTTCAGCCAAGGAGTGATGTGATCTGATTCGTATTTCCGTCTCCTGTATAGGAGAATGGACTTGAGGGAGCAGAACGTGACGGTGAGGGTGGTGACTCAGTCTAGGGTTCTACCAGTGCCGGTGCTGAGAGGGAGGGGGTCAGATTCCCGTTGTAAAGGGAGAGGTGACAGGGTTTAGGGACGGGCTGCATGTGGAGTGTGAGGAAGAGAGGAGCCGGGACACCTCAGGGGTTTGGATTCTAAACAACTGTATAGAGGGTGTGGTGCTGTTACACAGAGATGGTGAAAACCCGAGCAGAGAGAACCTTCAGGGTGTTGGGGCTGGGAATCAACAAGTCCTCTCCGGTTGCGTCAAGGCTGAGCTGCCTAGAAACTTGTCAGTGAAAGGGCACGTGGACACTTGGGTACAGTCTGGAGCTCAGGGGAGAGGTCTCACGGAGATATACTTGGGGAGTCATCAGCCTCTTTGTAGAATTTAAAACCACAAGACTGGATAAGATTCATCTTGACTGATCGTGAGTGTATTCATCCATACATTTAACAAATCTTTTCAACTGCCTATTCCGCGCTAGGCTTTAGGGCTACAGAGGTGAACCAAACAGGCCAGGTCCCTGACCTCTCTCTGGCTGGACGCAGCAATGCCCTCCTGTGCTGTAAGAAGAATATAAATAGGGGTGTGTCACCATGTAGAAAGTTCCAAGCTCCATGGATGTCTCTTGTACCCTAATAATTAACCTTCCCCCTAAATCTTAAAAATGATTATTTTAGTGATTAAATAATGTTAGTATATTTCTACGTAGTATGTGGAAGTATCTGAATTACATTTTGAAGTACCCACAAGGAAGAAATCATTTTCTCCTGTGGAAAAGAACAAATGCCCTCGTCTTGCCACTGAACAACGTCAAGGAGTACACTCTGATGCTGGAAATAGTAATGTAATGCAGTTCTGAAGAGGTTATTTGCAAACCGTTCTCGACAGCTTCATATATTATCTATTTATTCCAAAGTATTAGAAAATAGTCACTCAATTAAAAATAGTTCAAATGTTTTAACTTAGGTGCTCTTTTCCTCTTTTTTCATTCGGGAGTTTCCAGTTCCAGCATTAGGAAAAGCTTAGCCCTGGCGAAACCACTCCCTGTGCCGCCTTCTCTGACTTTTGAGCAGATCACCTGCTTTTTCTGTCCGAGGCACCTGTCTACATGACCAAGAGGAGAAGTTACCATTTATCCTCAGAGGACTATCTAATCATACTGACTTGTTAGCTTCACCCCAAAAGGACTTACTGAGTTTCACTTACCTCCAAAGGTTGGCTGCCTTCAGCTTCTGAAGTTTTACCTTCTGTTGCCTTTCTTTGCTCATGTGCTGTATCTCCTATGAGGAAACAAAAATAAAAACAAACCTTTACCATACCCTGGAGGCCAAATTGTCTTCTATTTATTTAAAATATCTTTTGTTACTATACGTTTCACATTATGGAAGCAACTACTATTTCCTTTGTTACAAAGTAAGTTAATTTTTAAGAATGATAATTTTATACAGGTTCCAGAAATCATACATACATCTACATACATACAACCTAAACCAGAGATGTATTCTGCTTCTACAGACGTTTACTCTGGAAAAATTCATATTTTGAAAATCAAGTCATATTTCAAATAAACTAGGAAAGCTTATGACTTAAGGAAGATACGGCAAATTATTTTCAAACTAAAAGTCTTTTTAATATGAATAACTGTCCTCCAAGTTAGTTTTTTAAATAAGGTTTACTCATTGTAAGTGTTTACTTGTGTGTCTGTAGATTTGCCTCAGAGTAGATATGTATATTTCCATGTAATAGTTAACCAAACATCAAACAATCTTTACAGAAGGGAAGAACAATGAACAGATTCGTAAATTAGCCTTTTGTTAATACTTCGATTCCTAAGGCTGATGCCTGGGCGGGTTATATTACTAAATGAAGTTGGTAACCAGGCTGGCTCCAAGGACACAGGACAGACACAAACATAGGTAAGTAGAAGCATAATTTAATTTCTTAAAGGCCTATTTTATTAACTATCACTAATGATCTGTGATTAACACATGGTAGGTAAAGAAACAATTAATGAGAGCTTGATTTAGTAATTTGTAAACTGCACTTCCCGTAAAATTAGGCCAGCTCAGGAATGTCCACAACAGGGAAGATTACAAAATTCATAGATGATGACTTGGCCAACACTAAAGGTTAGGAATTTGTTAATAAGGAAGGTCATAAGTCCTGACTGGAGATAACAAAGTATGCAAGTAAGTCCTGGCTGAGCTTAACTTTTTTTATGAAACACAAAAGTTTAACATACCATTGCCGATAATCAAGGAAGAGCCTCACTGAAATTTTAAGGAATTAAATAAACCTGTTAAATTCCTAAAATCATGAAGCATTATGGGGTGCCTGGGTGGCTCAGTTGGTTAAGGGTCCGACTCTTGCTTTTGGCTTAGGTCATGATCTCAGGGTCGTGAGATTGAGCCCTGCGTCAGGCTCCCAGCTGCGTGTGGCACCTGCTTAAGAGTCTCTCTCTCTCTCTCCCTCTTCCTCTGCCCCTCCCCTGCTCTCTCTAAAATTAATAAATCTTTAAAAAATAAAATAAAAAATAAAATGCAAGCACATCAATCAAAAATGCATATTCTAGCTTATAAGCTCTGTTCTCAGCTATGTGCAACATTATTATCGTTGGCAAGACCTACCACAGAATAGGTGTTCAATAAATACTAGCTGAATAAATCAGTGAACTTTTCTTTATACCTTCTAGTTCATAAAACAGATAAAATATTAAATGGTATGTAATAAAAGCTATATTTGAGCATACAGTTAATGTCCTTCTAAAACATATCTGTTAAACTTAAAAGGCAACTATATTAAGTACCACTAGGGTGTACTGCTTCTAGGGATCCATGATTATGGCATAACTTATTAGATTTTAAAAATAGTTAATGATTATTTATAAGAAAAAAAATCATACTAAAAAACATCAGGAACTTTTGGGTTATGTCTATAGGATAATAAAGTTAATAACTGTTAAGTGAAAAATTTACATCAAACTACTTTTGTGACCTAACATGTCAAACTATTTTGATTGATTTTGCAAATGCTTATTTAAACTGACCATTTGCATATCGAGGAGAATCTGCTTTTCAGAAATCTCTCTTCTCTCTGAAAGTTAGGGACAAGATCATCAACCCCCAGTTTACAGGTGGCAAAACAGATGCCGGAGAAGTTTAGTTGGCTTGGCTAATGACATGAGGACACAGCAGCCTAAGTAGCCGAGGTAATGCAAGGCTCTACACATTGAGGTCAGAGTGTGTTGAATGACTCACAAGCCTGATTCTTACAATATATATTGTCCAATACAAAAGGTCATTTACTCAAGAGTTTTTACCTTTTTGAATGATTATTGCTCTATCCCATAGCCACACAAACACTGCATTTAGCTAAAGTCATTCAACATGAAGTCAGTGCTTACTTTGCCATTTTCTGACTTCAAGCCGTGTGTCTGTGTGACGCTTTCTCCATTTCTCCCTACTGCTTGAATAACCAGAAAGGTTATCAGCCAGTGTTCCTGACATCACACAACACATCTGCCTGGAAGCGATTGTAGAATCATTATTTACTGAAATGCCATGTCTGGCGATGACTCAGATAGGACAATAACTGATTACAAGGAAAAATGCCATCTGTGAGATTATTCTCTATAAACAAAGGCAGAAAATGAAAACTGCTCAAACCACAATCAGAAAAGAACAGGTCACAATGAAATATAATTTTTGAAGGTTTTTTTCTTCCCACTGAAGAATTATTTTATCATGAGAAACATTCAGTAATTTTCTCTAATTTTTTATAACCCACACAAAAGTTAGATACTTCAACAAGAAAGAAAGACGCATGTGACAAATGTGAAATAAGGTACTTTAGTTTTCAAATTGTCCATTAACTCTGATCTATACACTGGGCAGATTAAAAATTTTCATTTGTGAGTCAGCTGTTTATAAAGAAGACTAGAACCCCTAGGGGCAGAGGCACTCAGGGCCTTGCCCCAAGTCTCCCAGGTAGAAGGCAGTCACAGTGGGGGCAGAACCTAGTCTTCTGACATTTTTAGGGACTCTCTGGTCTGGTAGAAGGTTCCAGTGGATGTGGGCTAAGGTGGAGGAATCAAGTCTGAGTTAGAGAATGGTGAAGAGAAGGGCCCAAGGATCTGAAAGGGAGCTCTGAATGCAGGATCTTGTGCTGGTCCAACCCTCTGGGCCCCCAGACACTTCTCTTGACTCCTTTTTTCTTCCATAAGCCCCACAGATTCTCTCTCCTCTTCCCTTTCCACTGATGATGCCAAACACTTCTGACCAGAGCAAGCCTCTGTCCTTTCTTCCCATCTTTCAAAACAAATACAGTCCCCTTGATACTTTTCCAGAAGTTTGCAAGGCTAGAAACAATTTCACAAAAGGCAACAACCCCTCTTATATTTACAATCATCAATTTTCTTGGCTTAAAATGTAGTTTTTATTTAGAACAAAAAATAAAATCTACACATACATACTAAGGAAGCTCTTTCAGAACTTAAAGAGCTGAGGTACAAGTTCTCTATATTTTAGATTAGGGATTGGCAAATTTTTCCAGTAAAGTGCTAGATAATAAACGTTTTAGACTTCATGGGTCCTACGGTTTCTGTCACAGAATTCTCAACTCTACCTTTGTGGCTGAAAACAGTCATAAACAATATATAAACCAATGAATGTGGCTGTGTTCCAATAAAATTTATTTACAAAAACAAGTTTCAGGCTGTAGTTTCCTGAGTCCCCCTTTTTTAAATTAAATTATCACTATGCTCAACGTGGGGCTCAAACTCACGACCCTGAGATCAGAATCACATGCTTTACTGACTGAGCCAGCCAGGTGCCCTTCCTGATCCCATTCTAGAGACTATATGTATTTCCACCTTTTCTAGGATAAAAGGCTGAATTATGTTTGAGTTGTATGAGGAAACAAGCAAGGGATGGTCATTAGAGTATCATTATGATCCTAATCTACTGGGTGGATTGGGTCAAGGGCGGGGAGAAATGGTGGTGAAGAGTGGGAAAGGGAGAGGACCCCCATTGCCTGTTTGGGTTACCCAGAGGAGACTTGTCTTGGCAAGAGAGGGGGTGAGGGAGTTCCTTCACTCCTTAGGCCTCCTTCAATGTGGAGGAAGCTCCACTAACATTAAGCCAAGGCCTCCCTCTACTCTCTAATCCATGGCTTGGTAATTTTGGGGGCCTTGCACATGTGGTTCCGCCCCTAATTCTTCCCCTTCTCTTGAGAAAGGGAGGGCAGTAGACAGCACGTTGCTGTCTGCTCTGTCACTCCACGGGGACCTCCTCCCACCTGGGAAAGCCTGCCCCAGCCCAGCATTTTCTGTAACTGGATGGAGCTCAATCTAAGCCTGGGGTTCAGAAATCCATTTGGTCCTTGATGGAAGAAGCCATATTCTTCAACACCAGCTTACTAGGCAATAAAGATGAGAAATTGGTCTCTATTTGGTGGGGGGCTTTTTCCCCCTAAATTGATTAGATCTTATCTGGAGAAGATGGGTGTTACTATTGGAAGGCCCTAGGGTCTAAAAGGACGGGGAATGGGCTGATATGGACAGGGCTGGAGCCTACCTAAATACGAAAAGCTGTGAAAACAGAAAACTGTTTTCTTTCTTTTAACTAAAGAAGAATTATATAGAACTGCCTTTCTCAGAATTGCAGCCCACAAAATACTACTTTTGAGGGGTTCACATGGAAAAAAGATTCCTATGGTCAAAAGTATAAGAAAAATCTGCAGAATGATTCCCTTCCTGTTGATTTCCAATGCACTTAAACAATTTAGAGGCTTGGAGAAATTCTTCTAGTAAAGAATCTTTAAGAGCGCCTGGGTGGCTCAGTTGGTTAAGCGTCCGACTCTTGATTTCAGCTCAGGTCATGATCTCAGGGTCCTAAGATCGAGCCCCACACTGGGCTCCATGCTAGGCATGGAGGCTGCTTGGGATTCTCTCTCTCCCTCTGCCCCTCCCTGCACTCTCTCCCTCTTTAAAAAAAAAAAAAAAAAAAAGGAAAGAAACTTTAAAACTTTTTCCACAATATATTTGACTATGGAGCATTTTATTCATCTGATACCCATTAAGAGGGTATCTTGCAGAGGTCTATGAATACACTTTGCGAAATGCTGGTAGACGTTTCTGAAGTTAAAATTGATTATGAAATGTATTATTCTTACCCGAGTCTTCAGAAGACCCTCAAAATTGTCAAATTTGTTGTTCAACTTTTGAACATCCATCTTCCACAGTGCTAGCCTACACCTATTTTCCTTTAGCTGTCTTTTCACA